AACTGGGCCCGACCTTTCCTGTCTTTAACCACTGATATTCTTTCTCCATTCTTTGAAGCCCTTACTTAGGGAAAAAGCCACAACTGGTGACGTCACCGAGCCAAGGCTTTGCTCGGTCATGATCTTCAAGCTATACACATTCCTTTCAAACTCTCTCAATGGGACCCCCTTTTTCAGACGTCAGATGTATTGCAGGACGCTCTGGAGAATTGGATTGGTCCCATCTCTTGCCATCTCCCTTCTGACCCCCGTTTGCAGCTAATTAAAACGATACCTATTACCTTTTCCTCTCCAGTAGTTACTTTTCCACTAATTCAAGCCATCACAGTTTTTACTGATGGCTCTAAAACTCATGGTGCTTGTGTCTGGTATGATCAAGCTAACTGGCACAAGCAACTGACAAAGCCCCAATCATCGGCACAGCAAGCTGAATTAGCTGCTTTTAACTTAGCCTTGGAGACATTTCCTGGGCAACCAATTAACATCATAACGGATAGTCTATATGTCTCCCAATTGGTCTTGCACATTTTTGAGGCATATCTGTCTCCTTCTATACAACCATCATTAATGACACTGTTGCTTCAGCTGCAAATGCTCATTCAATCTAGGACCCATCCTCTATTTGTAGCCCACATACGTAGTCATCAACATCTCCCAGGTTTCCTTTCAGAAGGGAACCAGGTAGCTGATACTGCTTGTAAAGTACTTTCCATCAGTATTAAGATGCCTCAACCTTCCCCTCTAACAGCAGGGGAAAGTCATAGTTATTTTCATCAAAACAAAAAGGCTCTGGTTAAACAATTTGGTATTTCTTTGGAAGAAGCAACTGCAATTATACAACAATGCCCCACTTGCAGTTTGCAAGCAAAAGCCCTTCCTCAGGGGACTAATCCCAGGGGCGTAGAGGCTTGTGAGACATGGCAAATGGATGTCACTCAATTCTCACCTTTCGCCCCTTGGAAATACCTTCACGTGTCTATTGACACCTATTCAGGGTTTATAATGGCAACCCCGCAAAGGGAAAAAGCCTCCAAACATGTCATCAATCATTACATTCGCACCTTTGCATCGTTGGGACGCCCAAATGAAATAAAAACAGATAATGGTCCTGCATACACTAGCACAGCTAATAGTCAAGGACAAGCCCTGATAGAGAGGGCCAACTTAACGCTAAAAACAGCGTTAGAACGACATTTGATCAAAGGGAAAAGAACCCTTAGCCTCCCGGCGATGCAAGACACTTTTAATCTCTGTCTTTATACTCTCAACTTCCTCAATCTCTCCAGCACCCCTGCTATGATGGCAGCGGAGCGACATTTTTCCTCCCCCCCTTCCCCTGATTCTCCCAAACCACAGGTATACTACCGCCAACTGCCAGACCCTACTTGGAAGGGCCCTGCTGGTCTCTTCACCTGGGGTCGAGGCTACGCAGCAGTCCAACTTCCTGACAGAACTCTCTGGGTTCCTGCAAGGTGTGTCCGCCCATATCACCGTCCACAACCAGCGGAGCCATCATCCGAAAAAGATGACAGCACTCTTCTTCTTCCTGCTTGGCTGTTCGCTTCGCTGGACTGATGGAACATCCACCAGCTTTAACGCCCATAGGCCATACAACATCACATGGATCATCAAGGACGCATATGGACAGGTATTGAATTCAACACACAATTATGCCAAAATTGACACTTGTTTCCCACACTTACAATTTGACTTCGCTGAAATGATCGTGGGCAGAACAGCATATACAAAAAAAGGACGGAGGACTCCACAACCAAGCCCAGAAGTAGTGAAAAAATTCCACCTTTATGTCTGCCCAGGTCACGACATTTCTCCAAACCATCAACACACTTGTGGTGGCCTATCGGACTACTTTTGCAAATCCTGGAGCTGTGTGTCCACTGGTCACATCTGGTGGAGCCCTCCCTACAAAAATGACTTAATCACCCTTTCTCGTTCAAGGGAGCACATGCCTTGCGCTAGGGAAGGGGGACCACCAGGTGCCCGTTGCAACATGGTCACTGTGAGATTCACTGCAAAAGGGAAAGCATCTACATTATGGGACACTGGAGTAAAATGGGGAGGAAGAGGGTATGACTCTGGCAACATTTTTTACATACAACGACAAGTACACATACCCTCCTCTGGTCCTGTGGGACCAAGTGCCAAGGAAATTAAATCTTCCTTTCTACAACCTTTGTCAACAACAGTTAATCCCTTGCTGCCACTTCTTCAATCCTCTTACAGTGTCCTGAATGCTTCCAACACTTTCATATCTAAGCATTGTTGGTTATGTTTGTCTCCCACTCCGCCATTTTATGAAGCAGTAGGATCCTCACAAGCCATAAGAAATGACACCTCGGACTCTCAATGTAGATGGCACGATAGTACCACCATCACTATCACTTCCATAATAGGCCAAGGCTGCTGTTTGGGCCACATACCTAATTACTCGCAATTTTGTTTAAATGCCACCACGGGAAAGTACTTATGTGATATGTACATACCTGCTCACCGACTCGACCTTAAAATAGGGGCTTGGACCCAGGTATTTACCACCACAGGAGGCAATATAAACAAACGCCTCCAGGGTCAATACTTCATTCCTGGAGATGCTTCAATGTGGGCATGTTCCACGGGACTGACAGCCTGTGCCAGCGGGGATACTTTAATCAAGCAGAATTCCTTTTGTATTCAGGTACAATTGATTCCAAAAATGAATGTATATGACTCAGAAAATTTTGTTTCTCTACTAGAACCTAGACAATATAACCTTAGGGCAAAAAGAGAAGTAGTAACCGCTTTGACACTAGCTGTTCTGCTGGGGTTGGGGGCTTCTGGGGCGGCCACAGGTATAGCTGGCCTTGTTACCTCTGATCAGCATTTTCGCCACTTAAGCGCCACCATAGATGCAGACTTACGCCGCATTGAACAATCTATAGTTGCTTTACAGAACTCCCTCACCTCCTTATCTGAAGTTGTCTTAGAGAATAGAAGAGGCTTAGATTTGTTGTTCCTCAAGCAGGGTGGGTTATGTGCAGCACTGAAAGAAGAATGTTGTTTTTATGCAGATAGTTCAGGAGTGGTTTTAGATTCTATGAAAGAGTTAGATAAGAGACTAAAAGAAAGGCAAAGAGAACGAGAGGCTCAACACACATGGTATCAGGGTCTGTTCAACTTCTCCCCATGGTTAACCACCTTAGTATCTGCCATTGCTGGTCCTCTTATTCTCCTACTTGTGCTCTGTACCATTGGCCCTTGTATTTTGGGCAAAGTTTTGGCCTTTTTAAAACGCAGATTAAGCCAGTTGGATTCCAACCTGTCACGGACTCAGAAACAGGTAAATACTCTCATATCCCATACACAAGAAAAGCGAGCTCTGTTAACATTCTCCTCGGATTCAGACGAAGATGAAATCATCAAAAGTGCTGGTAAGGACAAAACATGCATCCTAATGCACTTGCAAGCCTCAGACTCGGAGGAGGAGGGGGCAAGCAAGAATCACCATTAGGACAGTGTTAATATATCACTTTCCAAATAAAATAAAAACAGAGGAGATGTTGCAATGTACAACTGTTACAATAAATGGACGCTAAATGTTGCAATGGTCAACCTTGTAAAAATGCTGGATGGACGCTCTAATGTTGCTATGTGATAAAGTGCTGACTGTGTGGAAAAATACTGGCTGGAGAAACGAAAGTTATGTGGGAAAAGAAAGTAACTGGGCAGGGCTAAGAGTGGAGGTGATAAGACCCCAGCAATGGTATAGTTTTTGCATTAGCATAATTATGTAGATTACCTTATAAGGAAAATTTCCTTGTTCCTGCTATGACGCTTGCAAGCAACCTAATAAAAGGAGGTACCTGCCCTTTGTTCAGGGCCTTCATCCCGAGTAAACATTGTGTCCGTGTGTTTATTTATTTACAATGAGAGGCCCAGGGCTCTGAACTCAGACCCTGCCGTCGCCAGGGTGTGGGCAGCAAAAAGCCACAGGAACATCCACAGGATAAAGAGCTGAATCTCAGCGTTCCAAGTCAACCCTCCAAACAATTCAGAACTCTGAGACAGATGTTGAGACTTTGGAAAAAGTTCAGAAAAGAGCAACTAAGATGATCAAAGACCTGGAGACTAAATCATATGAAGAATGGCTGCAGCATTTGGGTTTGGCTAGTCTAAGGAAAAGAATAATTGGGGGCGACGTGATGGTAGTATTCCAGTATTTGAGGGGCTGCCACAAAGAAGAGGGCAGGACAAGAAACAATGTTTGGAAACTAATCAAAGAGAAAAGCAACATGTAATTAAGGAGAAACTTCCTAACAGTGAGGACAATTATTCAATGGAACAGCTTGCCTGCAGAAATCATGGGTGCTCTATCACCAGATGTTTTTAAGAAGTGTCTAGACCAGGGATGTCAAATTCATGTCACAGTGGTATTTTTCCCCTTTGTTAAACTGAGCATGGGCTTGGCCAGCGCGTGACGCATCCGGCTTGTAGCTGGGAATTTGACAGCCATGGTCTAGACAGTCACTTATCTGAAATAGTATAGGTTCTCCTGCTTGGGCAGGGGGCTGAAGACTTCCAAGGTTCCTTCCAGCTTTGTTCTATTCCTATTCCTAAGTCAAGTCCAAATTCTGATGGCAAGGATGTGTCCTTGAAAAGAATACAACCACTTTTTTGTACTAACTACTACAGGCTTCAGCTCTTCCTCCAACACATGAAAAGATGGGCAACTTGGCTGACATATAAAGTGTGATGCAGTGAGAAGGGGATTTTCTTCCAGATTTAGTAACATCCAAAAATGTTAATTATTATCTATAGAATGAAGCTTGACCTTGGAACTAACTGAAGGATTATAACATTTTGAACATTCTCAAATTTGTTTAATCTGCAGGTATCCAGCACTGAAAATAAATATATATAGTTGGAGGTTTTATGTCAGATCTTATTTTACAAAGCCTCAATCTTCCTCCATCTGCAAAATCAGAAACATATTATATTAAATCTACATTTTAACCTGATTCAGGAATTTATTGGCTCAAATTCCCTTAAAACCCTCATATAACATGACTGAAACCTAAAGCATGACCAGTGAAGTTTCAAACTTCTTGTTTGAAGAATTTGGCCTGTGTTCTTGCATTATCGTTCTCTGTTTCTTCGTTGCACTGCAGCTCCCGAGGTCTGTGCATGAGACGGAATATGACAGCTATATCACGCAAAATAGGATTTGTTTCCTGAAGACCCACAATCCATTTGGCCAAGATAGCCTTGTTTTCTGCCCCAACCATACACATGGCAAACACGGGGCCCTCCTTAACTGTAGAGGAAGCACAAAATACAGTGTCAGCATTCTAAGGCAGCTCAAAAAAAGATTACAAAGAATTACAGGTGTGAAATATTCAATTTGAGCATCAGACAGACAAATGCAAACAACTCAAGGCCAATTCATCATCCACTGTCAAATCCCAGAATACAGCTTACATTACTTGCATGCAGTTGCTTTACAACCAGGGATGGGATCCGACTGGTATAACTACCGGTTCTGTTGCTCTGCGTCGCGCGCGCATGCGCGAGTACAATTTACTGCAAGTGCGCGGCAGATGGAAAAGCCCTTTTTTCCTGCTTTTTCAACCGCAGCTGTGTCGCGCAAAGCAGCTGCAGTTGAAAAAGCAGGAAATAAAGGTCAGGTAAGAGCCCGGGCGGGTGGGTGTGCCAAAACAGCAGCAGACACAAACCGGTTCTATGCCTGCTGCTCTTCAGAACTACTGGTTCTACAGAGGTGGACAGAACCGGTAGAATCACCCCTGCTTACAACCATTTGTTTAATGACTGTTTGAAGTTACAATGGCACTTTAAACAAGTGGTCATTACACTTATGACTATAACAGAATCCTTATAGTGAAATAATCAGAATTTGGGAACTTGGAAACTGGCATGTATTTATGACAGTTGCAGTATCCTGGGGTCAAACAATTGGCATTTGTGACCTTCCCAGCCACCTTCTGACAAGCAAAGTCAATGAAGGAAGCTAGATTTCTTAATGACTGCATGATTCACTTAACAAAATTGTCATAAAATTGGGCCTTGCTTAGCAATGAAAATTCTAATACCAATTTGGGTTGTAAATCGAAGACTACCTGTATATACATGTGACTTTACACAGATCCCACATTCCACATCCTGGAAGTTTACATTTTTATAAGACAAGCAGGCAGGGGTCTTTCTACCAAATGGTCATGTAAGAAGCTGTTAGTTTAAACTCCTTTCACTTGATTCTCCTTTCCTAGTTTTTACTTTGGGAAGGATTTCATCCTGCTTGCTAGGGATGATCGAGACTGTATTTTTGCATTCAAAACACAAAACCCACATATATGATGACTACCTTTATCTGTGTAAAACTCATAATCATCCAGAACATCCCGTTCCAGATCAATATCCAGATGCATGGGGTAGTAGAAATTCCTTTCTGGGTCAATCACTTCCACCATCTGTGAACAGAAGCAAGGAAGTACTAATTATTTTTTCAATAGCAAATTTTCAGACCAGAACCCTACTATTTTTGGTTAGGAAAAGCAAACAGGAACATCCAATCACTTATTCAGGTTCCTGTGTTCATCTCCATTAGAGCTACATGCTTTAGAGGATATGGCAGATCTACCTCTATGAAGTATTTTATTCTGACTATCTCAAATTTTCAGCAAGGTTTTAGAGATACTCAAAGGACAGTAATATTATTGGTCTCAACTATTTCTGACTTATAGTAGTGCTCAGGGTGTTCTTCCAGAGCCTGCTTACCCCTTCAGATGTCCTCTGAAGTATAAAAATGCCATTTCCCCCATATAAACAATTAATAGCTCCATGTGGTTTTTTTCTATCATCAGGAAGCTTTTCCATACTAAGCTAAATCTATGAAATGATTTTTCATATAGCTGGGTGCCCTCTTTATTACCCAGTTAGGATTTTGGGATCCCCAGTTTCATTTCTTTTGGCTTCTACATACTTGCACCTAAACATGTCCAATAGGTATTTTGTTTAATGTGCTTGATTTTGAATTATTTAAACAAAAACAAATTGTCATCATTTTGTTGCCCCCCTCACTTTGAAATAACTGATCAGAAGTAAATGGAAGTGCTTTGTTGGAGCTTTAACGTGCTCTTGAACAAAATTTAGTCTTTGTCTTCCAAAATAACCAATAATTACTCTTCTCTCTCAACTAAGACCTTAACACTAAAAATAAACAAGCCATTCAGATATCAAATTCCTTTGTAGGTATCCTGTTTAATTACACTATTGCCATTTCTAAAATGTCTAGGCTACACAAACCCTATCAGGTAGGGATAAATTTTCACATCCTGAATTGTTTCCCCCCTCTCCACATGACTAACTCCTTGCATGCTCAGTGTACAATCATAGTTCATCATTTTTTCATGTTTATTTTGCACTAACACATGCTCACACAACTCCATCTGGTGTGCTAGCAGAAAAATTACATGCATCCTTTCATGTCTAGCTCAATGTTACAAGCAGCCTTTAGAGAAGATACCAAATATTAATTTACATGTTCTTCTGAAAGCTCTGCTCTGAGCACATAGTAATAAACACACTTGGACTTGAGCCATAAGCGAAAGGGGCCTTCAAGGAAAATGGGCTTTTCAGTGTTATGAGAAGCAAGCAGTGACTGCTGATCAGGGCTTTGGATTCCTGAAAGGCAGAGAAGAGACACAAAAAGAGCCGGTTATAAAACAAAGGTTAATCACCACCATTATTCTAAAATATTAAAAAAGCATGTCAACTCTAGCTCTTTAGTAAATTAAAAAAAGAGATGTGTAGTATTTTGTTTCATCAAAACAAGAATTCTGAGCATTATCAGCTATGTCCAAGAAGAGTTTAGAAACCAAGTTTCAAGAAATCCAGACTGAGATTTCTGGATAATGTCCACAAGTATTTCAAATCTTAGATCCTGCTATCCATTCATGTTGACTCATTATCAACTCTGAAGCTGTTGTGAAGAAATTTTATGAGTTAGTATTTCACTTCATTGCCACAGCACTTCTGTCACTATATGATTCTCCTGTGATTGTATTTCTAGCCCTAGAACAGGAGTGCCAAGCTGGATTTCTTTGAGGGCCGGATCAGCATTGTAGTTCCCCTCTGCGGGCCAGCGGGGAGGGGGCGGAAAGTGTGGGGGCGAGACAGGATGGACATCTCCTGCAGCACCCTGCTGGCCAAAATGGGGCACAGGGGGACCACATGTGGCCAAAACATTTTTGGCCAGCAGAATGCTGCTGGAGGCCAAGGAGGCCGAAAACGGGCCGGGGGGGGGGGGGGCGGTGGCCGGCAAAGGCACTATGGGCTGGTCGTTTGATATTTCCAGGCCGGCCCCGCAGGCCAGATTTAAGCACCCCACGGGCTGGATGCGGCCCATGGGCCTTGAGCTTGACACCTCTATCGTAAAAGAAATGAAATAGCTAGAATACAGAGAATTAAATGCTAGCTATGAGAAAAATAAGTAGCACACAGAAAAAAAAATCATGCAAAGGAAATTCCTTGTTCTTTCCTCTCTGAACTGGAAATGTTAAATTTCCAGTTTCAGCATTTGTGTTTCTGAGCTGAAGAATGAGGATTACACAATATTCCCCAACTGATACACAAATATCCATGCTTCCCACGTCTATTCAAGTCAAGCAATGCCTTGTTGCATTTCTACCTGTAATTTTTATTTCTGGTCCTGCTGTATGCATTATAGAAATAATAATTATGCAACCAATGGCTGTTGCAGATATATATATATTGAGTCACACATTTTGGTGGAGTTCTCTCTGTCTCCAATGGCAGAGTGAGAAGGTAAGCAAGAAGGAAGAAACCAGACTGGCCCACTTCCTATATGCACTTGACAGAAGGAAATCAGTTAATTTGCAACAAGAGGAAAACCTGTGCAGGAGAAAATCTGGTCTTGGAGATTTACAATCATTCAAATAAAGGGGTATTTTCTTACCATTTTTGCCATCATCAGGCTTCTATCTTATCCCTTTATTCTGCCCTTCACAATTTCATTTATGGTGAAGAAAACTGAACCTGCAATTAAATAGCATTGCCCCTTTGTTGCCTTTGAGCCTTCTCTGAGCAGCTGGTAAGAATTTTTTCTTTTCCTTTCATTTTGAACATAAGCTCCCTTGTCTTACTTGCAGCTACAGTGGCACCTACTGACATTATGATGGAAATCCCAATTTTGTTGCATATTCATTTGGTCCTCAAATCTGGGATTATCCAGTCAGTATAAAAAAATGACAGAGTTCAGTACCTACGATATGTGGATGATTGATTTCTTTTCCAGAATCCAGGACTTCCGAGTGGGAGATCTGCAAAATGTTAGGATAGTTTAAATTCATTGGCGACCCGAAAGTTATTAAAGTAGCAACATAATACATTACAGGAAGCCATTGAGGGACAGAAGGGTGAGAATGAAACAGGAAGATTAGGAGATGAAATACAGGTAGTACTCAATTTACAATGGTTCATTTAGTGACCATTCACTAAGTTACAATAGCACTGAAAAAAGTGACCACCGTTTTTCCTTATGAACGTTGTAGCATCCCATGGTCATGTGAATAAAATGTGGATGCTTGGCAACTGATTCGTATTTATGACGGTTGCAGTGTCCCAGAGTCATGTGATTCCCTTTTGCGACCTTCTGACAAGCAAAGTCAATGGGAAAACCATTCACTCAGCAACCATGTTACTAATTTAACAACTGCAGTGAATGTGGCAAGAAAATTCGTAAAATGGGGCAAAACTCACTTAACAAATTTCACTGAACAACATAAATTTTGGGCTCAATTGTAAGTTGAGGACTATCTGTATTAGTAGAGGAATAGATGGGTAAGGAAAGGAAGTATTTTTCTTTTACATGCTTCCAGAATATTTTCAGATTTAGCTTTCATTTACTTGAGAACTCCAAACTTTTGTTTTCTCTTAAAAAGTTAAGATGTTCATAATTAAGCTTTCTCAGATTTCAGGAATATATCTATACATTCCACACAAAGCCAGTGGCCACATACTCTGTAAAAGGCCAAAACTTCAAGATTTTGAGTTTTTCTATTAAAGAATTTGAATGTTTGACACATGATAAAGGAAAGTTACTACATCCAAAAGAAACATCAGCACTTTAAATTAGAGAAGAAACTAATCATTTCAATCTGCACAGTAGATTATCTCCTATACTAGTAAAGCCACAAATTTCTCAATTTACCTGATATACTGTAACCTTGGCATTCAAGTCAGCTGCAATCCTCTGCAAGCTCAACTTTGCAAGTTCAATAGGATCTTCTGGCAGAGGAGTTGGGACTGGATAAGGATTGATATGCTTAAATTTAGGGAACCAGTACATGATCCTCTGGTATTTTTTTATAGGGTAGCTTCTATTACCAAAGATCTCGAGCAGCAAAAACCTGGTTTCCTGATTTGGCATGACACCTTTACGAGAAGAGAAAGGACAAACTTATCAGGAATGGGAAGAAACTTTTTATTTACCCATTACACTGGTCTACAAGGAGAAAGCCTCAGAAATAAAAGTAGCTTAATTTTACCAGAATTGGGTCACTAATAAAGGAAAATTAAGTCCTGAGTATTAATTGGCTCCAGTTTCCAAGATACAGCTTCAGGTCAAAATTGCATCAAAATAATTCAAAGTTACAAGGGGGATGTGCAATTATGCTCCATAACTTTTCTGCAAAATGTGATGTAGCAATGAGAATGGTGCCACAACCTATAATTATAAATTTATCTTTTTATTGATACTAATAACAACTTTCCATTCATTTATTAGTTTTTCATGTAACATTTTCATGCTTTTTGTATGAAAAACTGACTAGCTCTAATACCTGATTCAAGAACAAGGTTCCATCTTTATCTGGTATCTAAATTGTGCTTTTTGGCTTTTTTTCTTGTGAACTGCAGTAGGATCATCCCTGGGGAGATTCCAGCAGTAATCGGCAAGCATGGACGGACTCCATTTCCCTTGGTATCTCTTCTCCAAGTCTGTGCTATCCTGGTGAAATGGGCGTTGGTTCTTACCTGACACGCCATTTCTCTTGGAGCTGCGAGGATCATCCAGAGAGTGGGTGGTGCTTCAGTCTCTGCTGTTGTAGGCTGAGCTAATTCTTGAGGAATGCTCCTCCTTCCGTCACGTGACTCCATTAGAGCGTTCCCCAGTTTATGCGAAGACGAGAGGAAACAGGAATTCGTGCTCTCATCTGACTAGACTTAAAGGTTCATTGGCCGAAACAAGACCCCACCAGACGGTGAAAGATAAGGGAGGGGCTGGATGATCCTCGCAGCTCAAAGAGAAATGGCGTGTCAGGTAAGAACCAACGCCCATTCTCCTTAGAGCTGCTCAGATCATCCAGAGAGTGGGACATACCAAAGCTGGGCCTGTCCTACGGGAGGGGCGCCGTCTGGTCTGTAGTCCCCTCGGGTTCCCTGAGAACCCTCTGAAGAACCCTTCTACCGAAAGAAGCCTCAGCTGAGGCATACCTCTCAATCCTGTAATGCCTAATAAAGGGTGACGGGGAGGCTCACGTCGCTGCCAGGCAAATGTCGATTATTGGAGCCTGGGTAGCCCAGGCAGCTGACGTAGCCGCACTCCTAGTGGAGTGAGCCGTGATACCCCTGGGCACCTGGAGAGCCTGAGCCTGATATGCTTTGGCAATGGCCGCCCTTATCCAACAACCTATACTGGTTGGAGGAACCTTGAGCCCCTGTGACTTTGGTTGGAAGGATACAAACAGGGCCTCGGACTTACAGAAGGTCTCAGTACGTTTAATGTAAATCCGCAAGGCACGTTTGACGTCCAGAGTGTGCCAAAGTCTCTCCCTTTCATGAGTTGGCCTGGGGCAAAAATTGGGGAGGATAAGTTCTTGAGCCCTGTGGAAGACCGAATTAATCTGGGGCAAGAAGGAAGGGTCAAGCCGGAGGACCACCCGGTCGGGGTGGAAGACGCAAAGGTCTTTCCTAACAGACAGTGCAGCGATCTCTGATATCCTACGGGCTGAAGTGATCGCTACCAGGAAAACTACCTTGTAGGATAGGAACTGAAGCGAAACCTCTCTTAAGGGTTCGAAGGGTGGCTTTGTGAGGGAGGTAAGGACCCTGTTGAGGTCCCAGGTTGGGTACCGGTGAAGGGCCGGAGGACGCAAATTTGTGGCCCCTTTCAGAAAGGCTCGAATACGGGGATGGTGAGAGAGGGAACTGCCTTCTCCACCGGAGATGACTGTAGACAAGGCAGCTACCTGACGTCTTAGCGTATTGGGGGACAGCCCCTTACTGAGACCCTCCTGGAGAAAGTCAAGCACTTGGGCAATGGAGGGGGTAGTTGGGTCAATAAGAAGCTTGACACACCATTTACGAAAAATGGTCCAGGTGGCGTCGTAAATCCTTGTGGTTGAGGGTTGCCTGGCTGCTAAAATGGTATCAATGACTTTGCTAGAGAGGTTTTCCCTCTTCAAACGTTCCCGCTCAACCTCCAGACGGCTAGTTGAAGCCATTGGGGGTTCGGGTGGAGAAGGGGACCTTGAGACAGGGAGATTCTGTCTGCTGGGATTCTCCAGGGAGGGGCTACTGATAGGCTGCGGAGGTCCGCGAACCAAGGGCGACGGGGCCAATAAGGTGCTACCAGAATCATTTCCGCCCTCTCTTGAAGGACCTTCTGAAGGACTAAGGGCACCAGCGCCAGGGGAGGGAAGGCATAAAGGAGGCCCGTGGGCCACGGACATCGAAGAGCGTTGTGGTCCTCTGCCCCTGGGGATGGGAATCTTGAAATGAACCTTGGAAGGTGGGTATTGAGGGGGGAGGCAAACAGGTCTACCACTGGTGGCCCGAAAATGGATGTCGCCTCCTTGAATAGAGATGGGTGGAGGCGCCACTCCGACTGGTCTATGGTGGCCCTGCTCAACCAGTCTGCTCGGGTGTTGGAGGTGCCTGAGATGTGGTCCGCCCTGAGAGAAAGGAGGTGAGACTCCACCCACCGACAGAGGCGCTCGGCCTCCCTCATTAGGCGGAATGATTGAGTGCCCCCCTGCTTGTTGATGTGGGCTTTGGCCATGATGTTGTCGGTGAGGATGAGAACGTGGCGGCCGCGTACCTGGGGGAGGAAACTGCGGAGGGCCAGATGGACGGCGCGAAGCTCCAACCAGTTTATGTTGCACAGTTTCTCCGTCGCTGACCATCTGCCCTGTGCTGTAAGGGACTGTAGATGAGCGCCCCATCCGGACAGACTGGCGTCTGTGGTGACGGTGACTCTTGGGGGCTCCTTGAGGAGGCAGCCCTTGTTGATAGATGCCTTGCTCCACCAAAGGAGGGAGGTGAGCACCTTTGGTGAGACCCTGACCTTGCGCTTTGAGTTGCTTGATCCGGTTCTTTGGTACGGGAGCAGGAACCACTGGAGGGATCTGGAGTGGAAACGGGCCCAGGGAATAATGGAAAGACAAGATATCATTTTACCCAGTAACTGGGATAGTTCCAGAAGGGAAACCCTCTTAAGGCGTCTGATGCTTGTTACAGATTTTTGGATGCTGAGGATTCTCTCGGCAGATAGGAACACCTTTCCCTTCACAGTGTTGATTACCGTCCCCAGGTGAGTTATCCTGGTGGAGGGGGATAATTGACTTTTCTTCCAATTGATGAGGAACCCGTGATCCTGGAGAGAGGATAGGGTAGTTTGGGTATCCCTCACTGCCTGTTCCCTGGAAGGGGAAAGGATGAGAATATCATCCAAGTAGCAGTGGAGGCGCACCGGGAGGGTTCTGAGGTGTGCAGCTAAAGCGACCAGGACCTTGGTGAAAGTTCTGGGTGCTGAGGCCAACCCGAATGGGAGAGCCACGTATTGAAAGTGGAGGTTATTGTAGCAGAAACGGAGAAATTTGTAATGAGAGGGTCGGATTGGGATGTGTAGATATGCCTCGGAGAGGTCAATGGTTGACAACCAGTCTCCCTGCCTAACGCCTAGTAGGATGGATTGCAACATGTTCATTTTGAATTTGCGGTATACGAGATGGCGGTTAAGCCGCTTTAAATCCAAAATCGCTCTCCATCCCCCCGAGTGTTTGGGTACCACAAATAAGTGGGAATAAAATCCCTGTCCTCTTTGAGACGGAGGAACGGGTTGGATGGCCTGTATATCAAGTAGGTGCTGAATTGCTGAGTCCACGAGGCTGCGCTTGGTGTGGTTCTTGGAGAGGGGGCATGGCATGAAAAAATCGGGGGGGGGGGGGGGGATTGAAATTCGAGGGCAAGGCCAAACCTGATGGTGTCCCTAACCCAGGCGTTGGAGGTTGAGGAGTCCCACTGGTTGGCGAAGGTCTTGAGACGCCCGCCAATGGGAATCAAATCTGGTGGCTTATCTGGAGCGCCTGAACGGCCTGTTGCCCGAGCCCCGAAAGGGCCTTTTGAAGCTACCGCCCCTTCTGTGCCTGTCAGAGGAGTCGGTCCTGTCCTGAGGCTGTCCCGGGCCTTTGGTACCTGGGAGAGAAGGGGGTTTGGAAATAGGGGCGAAAGGGAGCTCTCCGAAAGGGCTGCAGGGATCTGGGCTCTGACTTGCGGGTGAGGGATGGAAGGAATTTTTTCTTGTTTCTTCCTTCGACTAAAAGGGGATCCAGAGATGGTCCAAACAATTTGTTTCCCATGAGGGGAGCGGAAGTCAATTTAACTTTGTTCTTGAGGTCTGCCTGCCAGTGTTTTAGCCAGAGCAGACGGCGGGCAGAGACATGGGAAGAAATGGCACGGGTGGAAAATTTGACCGAGTGATAGGTAGCGTCGGCCGAGAACTCGGCTGCGGCCGTAATCTTGGCTATGTCCTGATGGGCTCGGACATTGGAAGCTGGGACATGTTGCTTAAGCTGGCGAAGCCAGCGAATGGATGACCTGATGAAGAAGGAGGCGGCCGTGGCCGATCTGATTGCCCAAACGTCTGACTGGTGGGCACGGCGTAAGGCCAGCTCCGACCGTTTCTCCTCCGGTCTCAGGGCCTCTAAGGGGTCGCTGAGGGTGGAGGAAAAGGCCAGGCCCACGATGGGCTCATCAACCTCCGGAATACCCGGAGTATTTGGAAATCTATATGTCTGAAGGTAATTAGAGGAAGAAGAGGAAGCAGGTCCAAACGACCAAGGAACGCCACGGGCCCTAAGGCAAAAGCTGGGCCTAACCAGACTGCCTTCCCAGGCGGAACTGGGCGGAAGTGGTGAGAATTAAGCGCCAGCTAAGGCAGGCTGCGGAAGAAGCCAACAAAGGGAGGCAGAGAACTAGCCTCCAAAGAAAAACCAGGCAAATTTTACTGCTGAACGGAATCTGAGCAGGCCAGCTGGTCCTGCTGCCTGATTACGAGCGCACTGCAGCGATCGGGAAGATAAGGAAACAAAATGGCGCCCGGCCACGAAGCAGTGCTTAAAATGGCGTCCGCCTGCGATGTGGGCTTACAGGGCTCCAGCAGCGGCAAGAAAACAGCTCTCCAGGGGCAATCCAAGGTCCCCAGGGGGAAAACAAGCAAGGGAGAGTCCATCAACCTTCGGACAGAGGAAAAACGGCGTTCGGGTGTGGGGGGGAAATGGAGCGAATCGATGCGAGTAAATCAATCAAAGTCCTTTAGGCAGAACAACGGAAAAAAACCGGCAGAAGGCAATGAGGAAGGGATGGGGGGTGGGTAGCCTGGAAAGCTGGCTAGCCTTCCCCCTGGCCCCCCCTGGGGCTAGGGACTCCCAGGGGAATTTAGAATCCCAAAAACCAACTGCGCAGGGCTAAGAAAGTAAAATAAAGTAAATACAACCTGATAGGAAGAGAGTAACAAATCCAAATAATGTTAGTCTTGAAACGGCCAAGAGAAATGAAAAAACACTGCCTACTCTGCGCGAGGCTGAGCATAAACTGGGGAACGCTCTAATGGAGTCACGTGACGGAAGGAGGAGCGTTCCTCAAGAATTAGCTTAGCCTACAACAGCAGAGACTGAAGCACCACCCACTCTCTGGATGATCCGAGCAGCTCTAAGGAGAATCTCTCCCCAGGCTCATCACTCACTGCCCCACAGTTCAAAGGGAAATAGTCTACATGCAAGTGTAAGAAGTGAATTTTCAGTGACGTGTTTGCACCAAGTGCTTTATAGGACCTAAGCAAATTTTCCATGTGTTTTGCATAGTCATCTGTCTTGCTGTTCCCAAAGTGAAGATAAATTTATACATTTCCATGTGGTACCATTTTCATTGTTCCACTGTACTTTGTCGAGGCATCATATTTCCAAAGCAAAAACCAGAAAAAAACTTCTCCAAGTGACTGGAAGGTTCTCCATTAACAGTTATTTTATCAGCAGTGTTAGTCAGCATTATATGCTAAGATTATTCATGTAATACAAGGAATAATTTTTAGATTAAGAGCAAGTTTGTGGAGATGGAGGATCCCATGTTTTTTCATATTCATATCATAAAAAATGTCCCCACTTTGGGGGCCCTCTTGCTATTCCTATGCACTTACCAAAGTGCTCCATCTGTTCAAGTAGCACGACGGCACAATCCTGCTGCCTGGGATAGTATTTGAGCATTTTTTGAAAAACATTTTGAGGAATGAACACTTTCTTAGGGAAGACATCCAAGATTTTGTTGTACACATTAACATCCTTCTCCACTCCAAATTCTGGCATTTTCTTCAGAGCTGCATAGATGAATTCTACGTGACCCTTGCGGCGGATATCCCGCTTGCAGAAGATGTCCACGGCTTCCTGAAATGTAGCTTTAGTTTTTTCATGTACAGATGTTGTCTCGAAGATATCTTCAATTTTTACTAATGACTGGTTGGCAGATTCTTTGTCAGTTTTGTCATGCTTCTTTACAGCAAAGTTAGAAGTGCCAAGAACTCTGCTCACTTGGATAGTTCTCACAGGAACCAACCTGGAGTTCTAAGACAAGTAGACAAAGTTTATTGGAGAGATGTAAGAATTACAGACCAGAATATAGTTAAAAATATTACACATAAATAGACTCACATTTTTATGCAGTCTCAGAAATTAAGAGAAGTTTTTAGGATTTTTTTTTGTTTTGTACCTGGAAAGAAGAGCTTCTTTGTAATTGTAGAAGATCCTTTCTAAGAAAGGAGCCTCTTCTTGCAGAAAGCTCCCCAGCCACTAATAATGCCCTGAGGCACTTCATGATAGTCCATCTGTTTTCCAGAACAAAAAATTGTGATCTATCAAGTTCCTACTACAGTGCCTCCAGGAAATCAAAGACCTAAAAATATAAGAAGATGAAATTATGGTTTCATTCAATGTCACAATACTCTTTACACCCATAGAACCAGAACTAACAAAATAATTCATGGTAGCAGTATAAGGAGAGATTTAACCTGGAAATAAGGAGAAACTTTCTGACAGAACAATGAACCAATGGAACAGCTTGCCCTCGGAAGTTGTGGGAGCGCCATCACTTGAGACTTTCAAGAAGAGGTTAGACTGCCATTTGTCAGAAATGGTGTAGGGTCTCTCGCTTGGGTGGGGGGTTGGACTAGATGACCTACAAGGTCCCTTCCAACTCTGATTATCTGTTATCTGTTAGTGTACTTAGCTAGGTTGAGAATGCTGTGTTTCCATCCATTATTCCTTGTCTTATTAGATTTAAGATGAAACTTACTGAATAATGAAATACAATTTTATGTGATAAAATTGCAAATGTGACAGATAAAAGCATAAAGGTACAATGAATTTAGAAAAAATAAGAATGTTAGACTATAAAACAAGATATGAGAATATTTAAAGAAAAAGGAATTAAGATATAAATTGAAAATGGATTTAATAAGTATAAAGAAAATAAGAATATTGGTGAAAATTTATGGGAAAATGGAAATAATGATATGATATAGAATTGAATGTGAAAGATATATACTAAGGTCATGTTTGTATTGAAGTGTAAAAACCTGGAACCACACTGTTCACTGAAAGAGATGTTTTTAAAATGTAAAAATAAAAAATTTATTACAAAAAAAAAGAAAATAGCTTGACCCCGCCTCCTCTCTGTGGCAGCCCCTCTGTGGCAACCCCTGGGTATCCCCACTAAGATGAGGATACCCAGAATCATGAAACTCATCAACCTGTGCCTCACTAGCAACTTTCAATTTGATGGACAAATATACCAACAAGTCAGGATCACCCAAAGGGTCACCACTCTTAGGACTCATAGCAGAGACTGTAATGCAGCATCTAGAAATAATAGCACTCCAACACATACAACAAAGTATGGATCCAGTAAAAGTAGATGACAGGTTTGTCATAATAAAAAGGAACAACAAGACCATGAAACAATCAGCAACATTTTCAAAAGAATAAAATTTATGAGAAGAACAAAGCAAGAACATACTCCCCTTCCTGGATATCCTCATCAACAGAGGAAACACTAGCAAATTAGAAATGCAAGTCTATCGAAAAACAACCTACACCCGGGGTATAAAACTCAAGGCCAGCGGGCTGGGGCTGGCTCACATGAGGCTAGGATCTGACCCATGGGCCCACCCTGGAAACAGTGAATGACTGGCCTGCGTTGCCTCTGCCAGTGAAAACGGAGCTTGGGAGGGCTGCATGCGACCTGCCCAGGCTCAATTTTTGGCCGCGATGGCCTCCTGCAGCCCTCTGCCAGCAAAAATGGAGCCCGGGGAGGCTGCAGATACACAGACTCCCTGAGCTCTGTTTTCACTAGCAGAGGCTGCAGGGGGCCGTCGCGTGATGAGTGATGTTGAGCTGACCACGCTCCCCCAGGTCAAACACAACCCTGATGTAGCGCTCAATGAAATCAAGTTTCACATCCCTTACCTACACCAACCAGCTAACTAACAAGTAGACCAGTGAAATGCTGTGGACATAGTATACTTTGATTTCAATAAGGCATTTGACAAAGTAGACCACAACCTGTGGAATAGACATCATCGTCACCAGATGGATTTGTAGCTGGCTAACTGTATTCAACAAGTAGTCCTTAATGGTACTACATCCACATGGAGGGAAGTAAGCAGTGGGGTACCACAATGCTCTGTCTTACGCCCAATACTCTTCAATATCTTCATAAATGACTTAGATGAGGGAATAGAAGGGGAACTCATCAAATTTGAAGATGACACTAAACTGGCAGGAATAGCAAACACCCCAGAAGAAAAGCTCAGGATCCAAAAAGATCTTGACAGACTTGAACAATGGAGCCTATCCAACATAATGAAATTTAATATGGAGAAAAGCAAAGTTTTACATTTAGGCAGGATATATCAAAGGTATAAGTACACATTAGGTGAGACCTGGCTCAAAAACAGTAATTGAATTGTATAAACAGATGCATAGAATCAAGATCACGTGAAGTATTAGTACCGCTTTATAAAACCCTAGTAAGCCCACATCTGGAAGAATGCAACCAATTCTGCTCACCATACTACAAAAAAGATGTTGAGACTTTGGAAAAAGTTCAGAGAAGAGCAATTAAGATGATCAAAGAGCTGGAGACTAACCCATATGAAGAACCGCTGCAGGTTTTGGGTTTGGCTAGTCTAAGGAAAAGAAGAATTAGGGGTGACATGATAGCAGTATTCCAGTGAGGGGCTGCCACAAAGAAGAGGGGGTCAAATTATTCTCCAAAGCACCAAAAGGCAGGACAAGAAACAATAATTGGAAACCAATCAAAGAAAGAAGCAACCTGGAATTAAGGAGAAACTTCCTAACAGTGAGGACAATTAACCAGTGGAACAGCTTGCCTTCAGAAATCATGAGCGCTCCATCACTGGATGTATTTAAGAAGAGACTGGACAGTCACTTGTCTGAAATGGTATAGTCTCCTGCTTGAGCAGGGGACTCAACTAGAAGACCTCCAAGGTCTCTGTTCTGTTCCATTCATTTCCTATTCTGATTCCGATTCCCATTCTTATTATTATTCCTTTCTAACCAAATGTTCCATTACCAAAGTAACAACGCAACCTCCCACAAAAGGAGTTATATAAGAACATTGTTCACAAAAGTAAAAATGTACTGCAGCACCCAGAACACCAGAAAAAGGAAACAGGATGCCTAAACAAATCCTCCAACAAAATATACACTGGCATTTCCCATGCAACTTTATTCAAAACAGCCTGACCACTCAATTAACCAATTCACTTTTCATAGCTTGCTAACATAACACAAGTTAGGAAAAGGTTAACTCTACCATACAATATTTGAAACAACCAGCATATTACATACCGGGTGACTGAGTGGACTTGGTTTGGTGGTCATGTTATTGGCTGGGCATGGCCAACTCAATATCATTCACATCGAGGCATGTATCTCCTCGCCTGGCCTCTCATGACTGTGGGGATGCTGCAACAGTCGTAAGTGTGAAAAATGGTCATAAGTCATTTTTTCAGTGCCATTGTAACTTTGAATGGTCACTCCACACAAGCAAAGTACCAGCAAAGGAGGGGGAAAAACTCCAGAGACGTTCCTGAGACAGGAAGTCTAGTCCTGCCAAGAATGTAATAAGGATTAACAGAGAGGCAGTTTCTGTAAGCAACACCAGAATGTTTCCTTCCTGCCTTCCTTACAGGATTAGGCCAGTAATTTCTTCTAACAACCGGTTCTCTGAACTGCTTAGAATGTTAACAACCGGTTCTAGCAAATAGGTGCGAACTGGTAGAATTCCACCCCTGATCCCGGGGGAGAGTGGGAGGATATTGGTTTTTTTTAATTTTCTATACTGTGTACTTACTTGCTTGTAAGCTGCCTAGAGCCTCTATCAGAGAGTAGGTAGTCATATAAATTTCCTAAATAAATAAATAAATATACCATGGCAACCACATAGCATCACTGTAATACACTGAACAACTAAAACCCTTCGAAATATCTTAAGTAAACCAAAAGATTCAGTAGGCTAGGGGGAAAAAACAGGAGTCATCTACAACATATATTGTAAGGATTATAACAGTTGCTATGTAGGGCAGATCCAAGACTTGCAGTGCTTATCCATAAATGCCAATTACCAGTCAGAAGACACAGTGAAAACTCTTAAATTTCATAATTTACATGGACAGGTTCAACCATAGTTTCATTAAAATGGACAATAAAAAAGCTAAGAAGGAAATGAAAAGACCAGAACACATCTCCAACAGCCAACGCACAAATCAACAGGTATTAACCCTGGGCCAATCAAACAGAAAACAATCAAGGAATTATCAAAGAGATAAGTATGATATCACCAAAACTGGCTAGTAAAGGCCACACTTATGCTGATGTACCAGTTGGGCAATTAAACATCTGCGAGCAAACAACCAAGCATGGACAACTAGGGATTTCACAGTTTGGGAAAAACTAGTTGTATTGAGGGGCTGAAAGGCAAGCACAACAATAACTCTGGAGATGCAGAACTTGCTAACAATTAAGATTCCTTATTAAAAGAAGGTATTAGGATGCTATTAACTTTCCATCATTCTTGTACATACACAATGCATATCCCTTCCACAGTTAAGAGATCAAGTACATTCTGTAGCTTTCCCTCAAACATTCTAAATTGCTTTGTCACAAAACTTTATTGTCCAAACATTATAACCAAGTGTGTGACATAAAAAGGTAACTCTAGTGTTGTAACAACTTATTCCTTCAACACAAAAATGTTTTCATAGACCAATCCTGAGGCCAAGCAAAACATATAAAACAATGAAAAGTAAGCAGTCAGAAATTGGCAGGAAAATTAACATGAAATAATGATAGATTATCTTATTTTTCCATGTTATGATCTTCATCCCCAACCTTAACAATGGAGAAGTGATGTTTAGAGAATGTAATTTGCTGCAGCATTTTGATTTGAAAAATATCGAAATTATACAAATCATGTGACTTGCATGGAAGCAAAAGTTAGACATTGAAAAAGCAGAATAAAATAGTTGGAAGGGACCTTGGAGGTCTTCTAGTCCAACTCCCTATTCAAGCAGGAAACCCTATACCATTCCAGATAAGTGGCTGTCCAGTCTCTTCTTAAAAGCCTCCAGTGATGAAACACCCACAACTTCCGAAGGCAAGCTGTTCCACTGGTTAATTGTTCTGTCAGAGAATTTCTTCTTTGTTCTAGATTGCTTCTCTCCTTGATTAGTTTCCATCCATTGTTTCTCACCTCCTAGTGCTTTGAAAAACAGGTTGAACCCACTCTTCTTTGTGTCAACCCCTCAAATATTGGAACATTGCTATCATGTCATCCCTAGTGGTTTTTTTCACAAGACTACACATACACAATTCCTGCAAGCATTCTTCATATATTTTAGCCTCCAGACCCCTAATCATCTTTGTTGCACTTTTCCAGACCTTTTCCAGAGTCTCAACATCCTTTTTATATTGTGGTGACCAAAACTGGATGCAGTATTCCAAGTGTGGTCTTACTAAGGCTTTATAAAGCAGTGCTAATACTTCACATGATCTTGATTCTGTCCCTCTATTAATGCAGCCTAGGATTTGTTTTTTTAGCTGTTGTCGCACACTGTTAACTCATAATTAAGTGATTGTCCACTAGGACTCCAAAATCCCTCTCAGGGATTTTGTTTTTGACCCAGGTTTCACCTAATGTGTACTTGTACATTTGGTTTTTTCAGACCAGGTGTAAAACTTTGCTTTCTCCACATTAAATTTCATTTTGTTGGATAGGGCCCATTGTTCAAGCCTGTCAGGGTTTTTTGGGGTCCTGAGCTTGTCTTCTGAAGTTTGGCTGTTCCTACCAGTTTAGTGCCATCTGCAAATTTGATGAGTTCCCCTTCTATTCCCTTATCTAGATAGTTGATGAAGATATTGAAGAGTACTGGGCCTAAGACAGAGTCTTCTGATAGTCCACTGCTTACTTTCCTCCATGTGGATGTAGTTCCACTGAGGACTATATGTTGTGTGTGGTTTGTCAGCCAGTTACAAATCCATTTGGTGGTGGTCGTGTCTATCTCACATTTTTCTAGCTAACTAAGAAGAAGGTTGTGGTCTACCTACCCTAGCAGGATATACCTATCTACCTAGCACGATATGAGTAGTATTGACACTTTATTTTTTGTGTTGGAAAAGATCCTGAGAATACTATGAACAGCCAAGAAAACAAATACACTGATCATTGAACATATTGGCTCAGAGTTTTCTCACTTGATGAGAAACAAATGATCAAACTCAAACTGTCCTACGTTGGACGTGTTATGTGAAGACCTAGCTTTCTGGAAAAGGCTGCGATGCTAGGAAAGATTGAAGAAAAGGACGACTGGCAGCAATGTGGATAGGCTCAGTTACAGTGACATTGAGAGCACGTTGGAAGAACTGTAACACCAGGCTAGGGACAGATCATCGATAAGAAAATGTACTTATGTGGCCACTAAGTATCTAGTTTTTAGATTACACAAGTATAGTAATACATGATTATTCAGAATTCTAGCTAACTTCCTCACAGCTCTTTTAAATATTTATGCCCATTCCACTTATTTGTAGCTCACGCTCAGCACTCTGAATTCAGCCTGCACCTCCTTTAAAAAGCTAGGAAATATTATATACTAAAACCTAGAGCCAATGAGAAATAAATACGTATACATATTGATCACAGGGATATAATGATATATTAAATGTTAACTGCATTGTCAACCTAATTCATATTTAAATGGAATAATGCACATGGACAGTCACGATTACTATCAGACTTTCTCCCAGCTCTGGCACATTCCTCTGTCCTACTCCCGCAGGTCCTTCCTGTTCAACAGCAGCCCAACTCATTTCCCCGAGGGGCGCCCGCAAGCTGGCCCCTTATATTTCTGACCTTCCGTTGTCTGCACCGCCATCCTGGGATTGCTCCGCGTGACGTCTTCTCCACCAATTGCTCAGATTGTTGTCTAAAGTCCCGTCTCCTCTCATATTCGATTGGAGTTCCGCGAGAGCCACCGCGCATGGGAGGCTTCCTGCGCGCAGTCTTGCTCCACCCTACTAACGTTAAGAGTGTTGGACTTCAACTCCCAGAATTCCATAGTCAGCGGTATCGTTAATGGATAGAGCGGATCCCAGGGGTTCTTTCGATTGGGATTGTCTCTTTCATTTCTTGGCTGAGGTTCTACAACTGGAAGCTGGAAGTTCGTTGCCTCTTGGAGATGACAATTTTCACTTGCCTAGGTTTTTTTTTAAACCACTCCAGTAAAATGGTTTTTGCGAGGAAATCCTGCGTATATCCGACTACACTACTGTCAACTAAATTCCAGGCAGTTACGCTGCCGGCCACACCACCTTCATTTGCACACATACTGCAAATGTGTTATCATCTCACTTTTGTTCTTTCCTCGATTTCAGACAAGAGTTTTTTGGGGAGGGGGCTGAGTACATCTGACCAATAAACTGGTAGTTGGTAAATCAGTACTTGAAGAGCTGTCACAAGAAGGAGGGATTGACATTCTCCTAAGTATCAAAGGGCAGGACAAGAAATAATGAGTGGAAACTTGTTAAAGAGAAATCCAACCTAAAAGTAAGAGATTTTCTGGCAGTGAGAACAATATTTGCCTCCTGGAGTCGTGGGTGCTCCATCACTGGATGTTTTCAAGAATAGAGTGGACAATCATTTGGCTGGGATGGTAAGGTCTTCTACCTTGAGCAGAGAGTTGGACTGGAAGTTCCCAAAGTCCCTTCCAGCCCTATGATTCTTTGTTCTATGTTCTTTGTAACTGTGGCTGTTCATGTGGTGATCAGAGGGACAAACGCTTGTCATCATGACTTGCTTTTTAGGTCTGTAACTTCTTCCAATGATGTTCCAGCTGCTTCTTTGATCCTGACCATCCACTTTTTCTGCTGTTCTCCCATTCTTCTCTCAATTAGCTCGTATCATCAGCTTGCATCACACAGTTCAAAATGCATTGTGCAAGTTTCTGTTGGCTGATCATAGCCTTAGGGAAACAGCCATTATCTGTTCCTCAATTGGTTTATTGTTGTTTTCTCTTGCAGTTTGTACTCTTCTGGCATGTCCAGATAGTTAGTTTAAGATGTGGTCCACCAGTCCATGAGGCAGCATGCAGAATGTCAGTATGAATTTCATTTCTCTACCTGATCACTCATGAGATGCATAAGCAACCTCAATTGTGTATCCCTTTCACAGTTGCTTCACTGGCTTTCCTGTTCTGTGCATCTGCCTGGCAGGGGCTGGTAGCCAGGAGGGTAACAGGCTGGGTGGTATAGCTAGAAAACTTATTATGCCAAGCACTTGTTGCTCACCAGTGGTGGGATTCATTTTTTTTTCCTCCCAGTTCTGTGGGCGTGGCTTGGTGGGCGTGGCAGGGTAAGGATACTGTAAAATCTCCAGTCAGAGGTGGTAATTGCCGGTTCTCCAAACTACTCAAAATTTCCGCTACTGGTTCTCCAGAACTGCTCAGAACCCACTGAATACCACCTCTGTTGCTCACCTACTTGTTTGTGAAGGGGTTTCAGGTCAGATATTCAGTGAAGTCTTTTTGCTGATGAAATCATATGCTAATAAATCGCTGTGCCCTGCTGAGTAAGTGCCTGGCCAGATACTTTTGCTCCAGCACCAGTTTGGCAGTGCTCTGTCTGAACGACACAGTTGGGTCTGGCAGGAAGAATACTAGGCATGGCACTGATAAAAGTTTGGTGAACTGATGGGTAAGTTATGAAAGGCAGACACATAACTAGGATGGCAGAGTGAGGAATATGAATTTTCTCTTGTCTTCATTTCTTTGTCTTAAAACAGACAATTAAGCAACCTTGCTCCTTCCTGTCTTCTCTCTTTGCAGAAGGAGGGGTTCATGGGGCAGTGGGGGTGCTGCCTCAGACAAAGACTTAAAATTGCTTTTACTTTTATCTGTGGAAGGAGGGGGGTTGCAGGGGGTGGGGGTGCTGCCTTGAGCTGCTCTGCAATAGGAAGGGGGTGTGTCAGGGATATACACCCTAGCAGAACGTGCAACGGCAGTCTAGCAGGCAGGCAGATATGCGAGACAAAACGTTGTAGTAGCTTACACTCAGTAAGACAGATACACTGTGCAAGTTAAATAGTTTTTATTCCA